TCCTCAGTCCTCACCTACCCATAGGGACCAAGAGTCACAGGATGCCCTTGTAGGAAGGAAAGAGGAAAAATACTCTGGTCAACTTCCCAGAGGAAGGACTCCTACATCTTGGGTTCATGAGAAGACAGAGGGCCTGGGAATCCATGCCAGGGCCCCTACTCCCCAGAGACCTCAAGCTCCTGATGCCACCACCAAAGTGACATCACGGAGGGGACCATCTCCTCTGCATCATTCCTCAAGCCCAGCCAACCCTCCAGGCCCTGGGCTGCCACACCAGGGTGCTTCCCCCCAGCTCAAGGAGCCAGCATCTGTCCCCTCTCCATCCCCTGTCAAAGGGTTCACCAAGATTCCAATCCGGCTATCCCCTGCCTGTCCTGTCACCCCAGGAAGAAGCTGTCCAGGTGCTGCAAATGGAGGTCCTGTGGCAGAAGTGGGGAGGAACCCCAACTCACCAAAGACTGTCACTGGGGACCTTGCCAGGTCCAGACATGGAAGCTGCTCTGTGGAAGTGAGGCAAGGGGACCAGCAGCCAGACGACCCAGTCACTGCAGAGGCCATAGCACCCTGGGGCACTGGCCCACAGGAGCGGGAAAGGCAGCATACCCCCTTGTCCCTTGGTAGGACTGGGAAGCAATCTGTCTACCAGAGACTGGAAGAGCTTGTGGCCAACATGGAGCTGCTGGAAGTAGGGGGTGCCTGTCCCCAGGCCACAGGATCATCAGTCATCCCTCGAAGTGGGGTATACGTCCCCAGCCTGAGTGGGCGGTGGCCTGCACCTGGTGGTCCTTATGACAAAGTCATCCAAGAACTAGCTCAAGGCCCCCCACCCCTCCTTAAAGTGGACCTTGGATCCTGGAAGGTCACCCCTACAGGCTCCCCTAAGCCAGCTGTTACTGGAGGCCCAGGAAGCACAAAAGGGAAGCTGGGAGCCAGAGAGAGTAAGCCAAAGGAAAAGGCAAGCCTGAGTGAGGAGGACACCAAGATGAGCCATGTCTTGCCTCCTGGAGGGCAGGAGTGTTCCACCCCTACCGTATCTTCCAGCCAGGAGGCCCCCAGACCTTCACTCTCAGAGTCTCATTCTGATAAAGCTAAGGCATACCTAGGCAAGGGCAAGAGAACACTCCGGAAGCCCCAGAGAGTCCCGTCCATCTATAAGCTGAAGCTGAGGCCCAGGATCCGGCCCCGGAAGGATCACAGACCTGAGAAGCAGCCTTCACGAATCCCCAAGCCACTGGCCTATCTCTGTCTGGGTTCAGCAGGGGCACTGCACAGGAGCAGACTGTTGAAAACCAGAGTGGGGATCAAGGAAGGGAGGGCAAGCCAGGCAGACAGAGGTTCTGCAAGTGAAAATGCGGAGGAGGAAAAGGAAAAGAAAGAGCAGGCCCACCCACTGGAGAGCAGCCCCCAGCCTTTGGAGGGCCAGGGCTCTCGGCAGCTGGCTCCAGCCCCACCTCCACCTGAGGAGGAATCCTGGGTCTGAGGAACTTGTGGCGGGGGGGGGGGGTCGGGGGTGGGGAGGAAGGAAGCAAAAAGGAACACATGTATGCAAGAACAGAAGAGCTATTTGCTCACTTCAACATAGGCCTTGGCCAGGCAGGAGTCAGAAGGCATCACAGACCACACAGTCTGTGATGTGTGATAATGCAGTCTGTAATGCTAGCACTCAAGAGGCAGAGGCAGAAGGATCAAGAATTGGAAGCCACTCTGGGCTACCTAATGAAACCCTGTCCAGTGTGTGTGTGTGTGTGGTGGGGGGGGGGGGGGTTGAGAAGGAAAAGGAGAGAGGGGGAAAGGGAGAAGGAAGGATGATAGGAGAGAGGGAGGAAGGAGTTAAGAGGGAAAGAAAGAGAGAAGGAGGAGGGGCAGCTGAATCTGTTTAGTTGAGGAAAAACACACTGCAATTCCAGCATTAGGCCAGAGGGTGTAGGCATCCCTCTATCTTATCATGCTCCTCCAGAAAAGGTCCCCAAACTCCTGACCTGGCCATTTCCACCTGTCTCCACATTTTTAAGTTATTAAACACATGTGGGTCTTCCTTAAGCCCCACGCTTCTCGAATCTCTCACAGTAGAGCTGTGGAGGTAGAGGAAGGAGAAGCTTCAAGTGCTATCCCCACTGGAGAGCATGGGGACAGATGGAAGGAGTCTGTGATGAAGGGGGTTTCCTCTTTGGAGGCTCAGCTAGTCTTGAAGGACCGCACCCTCCTTTCAAAGTGGCTGGAATATCAGCACCACGGACAGGGACAAGGCCAGCCAAATAAAGGTTAGTGCCTAGGCTGGGAAAACAAGAGTCCATTCAGCATCAAGAGGGAGGGTTGTATGTTAACACATATACAACTGAGAAGTTATGACTGAGAGGGTCCAAAGTCTCAACCTGGAGTGTGAAGATGCAGAGAAGCTGGCGTAGACTCCTGTGACAACAAGCCTCTAGAGAGTGGCCAGGGCCCGTTATTCCCATCTAGAATTAGTTGGAGGTTTTTGCTGTTGGGTAGAAAGGAAATGAATCCCAAGCCCTTCTCCTTTCATCTCCTAGTTGATCTGAGCCTTGAGCCTGTGCCCACATCACCCCCTCACCCTGGTGCCACACAGATCCCAGCCACAGATGCCCTGGGGACCTTCCCTTCCCTCCCTGAGGAACAGGGCCGATACCATGATACAGAAACAAGGGAAACACTCCCTGATTTTTAATCTGACTTCCATTAACAGCTCAGTGGGCATCACACATACTTCCAGACCCTGTGGTGGGAAACCCTGGTGGTTGGAGGGGAAGGACAGAGACTCAGAATGAGAGTGGAGACCTGAAATTCAATACCTGGGGTGAAGTGGGGCCAGTTGAGGGGGGGGGAGTGCTACATCCCAATAGCTCCCATGAGGGGCAGCCAAAGGCTTGGGCCCCCACCCTTACCTCAGGTGCCTCTAAGGTGAGGATGATCGGGGCACTTAGATGCTGCCATCCTTCACCCCATTCCTCTGGGAACCAGGGGTGGGGTTATGGGAGACCAAAGGAGACAGCCCTCTTTCTTACCCTCCCAGCCACTGTGAAGTGTGGGGAAGGGGAGCCACCTCCTCTGTTTCAGAGGGAGGCTCCAAGAGGGAGTCTCTTGCCCAAAGTCAGGCAGTACAGAAGGGTCTAGAACACAGCAACACTAGACTGCTCAAGGTCAGGGTGGCGACTGTGGGGCTCTGCTGCCCGCAGTGTGTGTGTGTGGAGGGAATGGGAAGCAGTGAGGGAAGTCAGAATCAGATTCCCTCGATCAACCCTTCCCTCAGCCTCCTCTCCATCACCCCTCTGAGTACTTGATTTCGTGGTCTAGGTGCTGTAGCCTTGGCCAAGGCTGTGTTCTATATATATGCCCGTCTTTTAACAAGGGTCTTCGATGTGCTCCCACTGGACCTGGACTGAGGGCCCAAGGAGAACTTCCTTGGCCGGGGGCAGAGGACATAGTACCACTGTTCCCTCCCTCCAAGTCCCCCAGAAATCCCTCAGGCCGTTCCTGGAATCTTCACGATTATTGTTATTTCTAATTCGGTACAAAACTGACAGTGATCAGCTCCGGTGACGAGAGGTAGAAACCCGGCCAGGCAGCCGGAGAAAATGGGGGTGGGGTGAGTTAGGGCATAGGGCCACCTGCTGCTGGGACAAGGGGTGTCAGATCCTGAGGGCCTCCACCAGTGAGTGGGGATGCAGGTGTATCTCCCGCAAGCACAGGGCTCCCCTTAATTCTTTTCCTGGGCTCTGCCCTCATCCAGATTGTAATCTGAGTAATCTGAGATCTGAAGCAGGCAGAGTCTGGGGGTAGTCAGATGGGATGGGATTGAGGGACAGAATGGTCACTGGCACAACCTTACCCCCCTCCTGGGCACCACCCTGCCTGCCACCAACAGCTCCCCTCACAACCCAACATTCCCTCAATCTGGCCAACCGCCCAGTCAGTGCAGGAGGTAACAGAGGAATGGAACCTGGCAATCATGGAAAGGAATCTAGCCTTTGGGGGGATTCCCTTGTCCACACTCTGTCAAAGCAAAACAAATGTTTTAAACTTAGGAGTGACCTGGCTTTGGGGACAGGTAGGGGGTGAGGGGCACCCGGCAGGGACGGACCATCGAGTTAAGGCTGGAAGGTAGGTTGTTGTGTCTCTGGGGGTTGCTGGGCAGGGAGGTCTCCCTGGAAGCGGGAGAGCTCGGCCTTCTCCCCCTGACTAATCTGGGACCTCTTGATGGCGGTCTTTGGGCCACCTGCATCTCTCTGCCCTGTGCCAGTGGTGCTGAAGGTCAGAAGGCCTGGCATCACCAAGCTGCCAGGATCTGCGACAAGGGGAAGGAGGAGATAAGAGAGCCCTGTGAGCGGAGCTGGGGTGTGTGTGTGGGGAGGGGGGGGAAGGAGATAAGACAAGTGAGGACAGACAGACGGACAGACACGGGTAAACACATACACACACACATACACACGCACACGCACTCACACTCGCACTCGGAGAAGACGGGCAGGGGTCTGGCCAAGGCAGCACCTCCTCACCCCACCCTCCAGTTCACCAGCTCACCTCCAGGCCAGGCAGAGGCCGCAGCGCCTCCTGCGGGCCGGGCACCGCACTACACTAAGAACAGCGCGGAAGGTGGCTGTGCCCGGCGGGGAGGCCCCGGGGCGGGACGGGGGGGGGGCTCCCCCCTCGCCCTGTCCGCCTTTACCCAAAGGTGCGCCTCCACCCGGAGGTGCGTGGCTGCGGGGTGGGGGAGAGGTGGCGCTTTGGGGCCAGGACCCTCAAGAGTTTTATTCCCGTGGCGGGAAGGAAGCCGCCCTCCCCGCCCAGCCGGATGATCCCTGCACCGGGGTGGGGGGAGCGCACTGCTCACACGGGGTGGGGTGTGATGGGGAGGATGGGGTGAAGGTAGGGCCTGCAGCAGCCGAGGGCAGGGCGCGTGCGCGCGCGCGCAGGCACACGCATGCGTCAAGTGACGGCAGCGTGCCTGGGATGGGGGTGGGTGGGTGGGAGGGCGCGCGCGTGTCACATGATGGCGCAGCGGTTGCGGCGCAGCGCGCCCTGGAAGCGCAGGGCGGCGTGCACGTGCTTGCAGCGGGCGCAGCCGACGCTCTTGAGCAGCTCGCTGAAGAGCAGCAGGATGTGCCAGTTGTACTTGGCCGAGCACTCCACGTAGCCGCACTTCCACGTCTTCCGCACCAGGTGCGACACGTTCCAGCGCGGGATCACGCGCCCGCGCTGCAGGTCCCGCTTGTTGCCCACGATGATGATGGGGGTCTCCGAGGTGCCGATCACCCTGCGGGGCCGGGGGAGGGGGGAAGCTCAGAACTCGGCCAGTCTCCCAGCCTCCACTGGAGGTTCTGTTCTGGGGGCAGCCCCCAGTCCTTAAGGTGTGTGTGTGGGGGGGGGGTGAGTTATAGTCTCCAATCAGCATGATCGACGTGTTAAAACCCCTCCCAACTCGGCACGATTGCATCTATTCCACAGAGGCGGAGTCTGGGGCAGGCTTAAGTACTCACCGGCCCCCTGGCCTGCAACTTGAATGCCCCTAGCGGTCTTGTTGGCAACACCTCTGCTCTTTGATACTCCACGGGTCAAGAACACCCCTCAAAGTCAGGGCCCCAAATAAGTGAACAGTAATGGGAGACAGAAAGGTGAGTTTCGTGCATGTTGGAGTTTATGTGGGAACCAGGGAGTCTGTGAGCTTCACCTGCCCCCTCGCCTTCCCTTTTGCCCAGGGACAGGCTGGCCCTGGGGCATGGACAGAGGTGAGGAGCGGACTGTGCTGGCAGACCCTCACCTTGTCTCCAGGATCTGCTGGCGGATGGTTTTGACGTACTCGAAGCTGTCAAAGCAGCAGATGTCGTACACCAGGATGTAGGCGTGGACGCTCCGGAGTCCCCTGCAGCAGGCATCTGCCCACTCCTGCAACACCCCCCACAGTACCAGTCAGAGAAGCCATGAGGGACCCCCACGATTCCCTCCATCAGACCGTCACTGCACCAGAGGCCTCCAGCACAAACCCATCCTCAGGAAGCCAAGGCCCTGGGAAAATGCCGGCCCTGCAAGCCAGGACAGCGCAGGTTCTGCGTCGATTGACTAACAGGACCATATTACTGTCTTCTGCATATCTTGAAGATACAGCTATCTTGTGACGGGCCTGCCTGCCTGCCTGCCTGCCTGCCTGCCTGCCTGCCTTCCTCCCTCCCTCCCTCCCTCCCTTCCATCTTGTTCAACAAGTCCATTGATTCAAAAGAACCTAACACTGAGCTATTTATTGAAACTGTTAGCATCCAATCTTCCAATGCTCCTCCTCCAAGAAGCCTTCCTGATTTGCCACCCTTCTTGCAAGAGGGCACTACTCCCTTTATCTCCTGTGTCTAACTTCCTTCTATCATACCCTGGTTACACACTGTTCCATTTTCCAGGTCCTCACATCTGCTGTGAGCTCCCACCACCAGGTAGTGATCTGTCCATGGTGCTGAATTTGAGTCCAGCCTGGAATCCAGGCAAATCCTGCTCCTCACACAACCCCTAGGACTCTACCTGTTTGAGGGCTCCTCTCTATCCTCAGGATTGAGAAGCAGAGGCCTGGGGAAAAAGGCTGAGATAGTGCAGAAAGGGGGTGGGTGAAGAGAGTAGAACCTCAGGGCAGCTCCAGGGAGACAGAACTTCCGGTATGTGTGTTAGGTCAACTTCTCAGGGAGGGGCTACAGCTTAAGATAAATAGATCCCAGGAAAGGCTGAATGTGCTAAAGGGAAGGTTCCTTAAGAAATTAATTAGCTAAGTAACCTCCAACAGATACAATTTCAAGAGGAGTTTCAGGCAGTCAACATAGGAAAGAAGGGGGTCTCTGCAGTGATGAAGGCAGATCTTTCCAAGCAAAGGAAACCAGGGTTTTCTCCCTCTAGGACTCATGCAAGGAGGTGGTGAGGAGGGGCAAATGCCTAACACTCCTGAGATCCCAGGTTCCATCCCCAGCACAAAGAAAAAGAAAAAGAAAAAAGAAGAAAGGAAAAGGGGGAAAAAGACTTTTAGAGGGGGAGGCATGGCTCTTGTTCCAGCTTGAGTTGGCTTAGGCCAAGGGCTGCACACAAGGGAAGACTGCAGACAGTCCTCCACCTTGAAGAAGGAATACAAAAGAACAGGGTCAGCTGCCACCTGGTGTAGGAAGTCTGATTTCAGAAGAGCACGTCTGACTTGGAACTTGAAGAAGCTGCTGTGGCTTTCCCCAAGGAGATGCTGTGGCATCATCTTCACTTTGTGCTGAGGTTTTCAGTTTTGGTGTAAGGGGAGGATGCTGAGGACAAATCTAAAACTGTAGGAACCCATGGACTGGCTGAGAAGAACTCGCTGTGTGGAACACAATGCCCACAGAGATCCAGGGGCTGTATGAGTAGGTGGTTCCTCCCCCAACCCACAGGAGAAGTGGAGTCCGTGGGAGGCAGGAGGGAGGAGAAATTCCCACTTTCTGTAAGCTCTCTGCTGGGGACAAGGAGCAGCTGCCAGCTTTTAAGGGTGACAGCCCCACCTCTCTCCCAACGTGCTGCCTCTTTGAGGGGACCCTGGGCTGCCTCCCACTCCTCTCTGGAGGCTTCTAAAAGGGAGAAGCAGAAAACTCCTGATTGTGGTGGCCTTTCATTCCTTGATTGAAGGAAGGAATGGAGAAAGTTCAGCTTTCCTTCCAGCTTGCTCTATGCAGAGATCTAATGTGTCCTAAAAAAGACCATCTTGGCTATGTTAAGACAGAGAAGGAGGAGCTGAGTGCACAGCTCTGTGGTACAGCACATACTTAACATGCACAAGGCCTTGGGTTCAATCCCTAGCGTCAAAACCAAACAAAGATGAACACTGAAAATGGAGTCTACTTCCTGAGTCTCAACCATGCTCGTAATTCCCTTGGCAGGTTTCACATGTCCCTCGCCTCGGCATCCCCTGACAGGAGGCGTTGGACTGAATGAAGCCCACACGGCACTGCCTCTCTGCCAGCAATGGGGAAGAAGGCATTGTTTTCTTTATAGATAATGACCAACAGGATTCTTGAGTTTTATATTTGGTCTTTGAGCAGCTTCCAGAGTCCCTTCTCAGTACTTCGCTCTGCACAGCCCCTTCTCTATTTTCTATTCTCTAGGATAGCCTTAGCTATCCTAGAGCCCGAAGATAAGGGTCCCAATAGGAAGTGGTGGAAAGACATGACTAGTTCTCAGAAAAGAAACACAAAGCCAAGGCTCTTAAACACATGGGGGAAATGTTCAATTTCATTAATAAGCAGAGAGGCAAATAAAGACTACACTGAGGCTACCATACTTCAATGCTCGGATTATTAAAAAAAAAATCCAAGTTTACTGGGCCTGGCGAAGCACCCTGTAATCCCAGTAACTCAGGAGATTGAGGAAGGAGGATAGTGGATCCCAGACTAGGCGAGGGGTACGTTGGGAGACTTTGACTCCAAAAATTAAGTAATCCATGATGGTGAGGCGTCAAGGAAACAGGCTCTTGGAAAATCATTTGCTGAAGTACATGTACAACTTGCACACAGGGGAATCAGGAGACATCTTCCAAATTCTGGTTGCTTTTACCCTTTGATCCAGCAATGTCATTTTGAGGGACTGATTCCGCAAATACACTTACTTATATAGAAAGCTATTCCTGTGCCTCACAATTCATTGTGTCAGTGCTCAGAACAGCACAATATTGTAAAATATTCTTTGTCCATCAAGAGGGGATCCATGAAATAATCTAGCAGGATACAGTGTAGCCACGAGAAAGAACAAAGAAGTCCTCTACTGAGGAGAGATAACTTCTGGATTCTGTTAAAGAAGCAAGAGCGAAGGACTAGGCACTGTGCTTACACCTGTAATCCCTGCTATGGAGAAGGTGGAGGTGATGGAATCGTGGTCTGAGGCCAGCCCCAGCAAAAATAACAAAACAAGAAGGACGGGGGACATGGTTCAAGTGGTAGAGTCAGAGTTAAAACATCAGTAAAGCCAGGTGCCGGTGGCTCACACCTGTAATCCTAGCTACTCAGGAGGCTGAGATCTGAGGATCGTGGTTCCAAGCCAGCCCGGGCAGGAAAGTCCGTGAGACTCTTATCTCCAATAAACCACTCAGGAAACCAGAAGTGGTACTGTGGCTCAAGTAGTAGAGTGCTAGCCTTGAGCTGAGCTGAGGGACAGCACCCAGGCCCTGAGTTCAAGCCCCATGACCAAAAAAAAAAAAAACAAACAAACAGGAGGAGGAGGCAGAAAGAAGAGGAGGTGGCTGTCGCAGGATTTAAGGTTTAAGGCCAACCTAAGATACACAGTAAGACCATGTCTCTTATTTAAAACAAAAACCAAGATCTGAGGATGGCGTTTGAAGTCAGTCAGGGCAGGAAACAGAGACTCTTATCTCCATTTAGCACTAAAAAACCAGAAGGAAAGTTGTGGGTCAAGTGGTAGAGCACCAGCCTCGAGCAAAAAAGCTCAGGGTTAGTCCCCTGAATTCAAGCACCGCTCTGGCACTGGTGTGTGCATGCACACACACAATATTATAAGCATGAATTAAAAGTCAATGAAAACGTTAGAGAGTTATGGGGGAGGAGAAGGCCATAATTTGGACTTTAAAACTGTATTTTATCTACTCCAAAATTAAAATTACACTGAAGATAAATCCACAACTAAATGTGAAGAAGAAATAAAACCTAGTGCAGGGTTGGAGCCAGATCTGAAGTTCACTCAGGTATCATCAGAAACTCTGAGCTGGGCACCGGTGGCTCATACTTGTAATGCTAGCTACTCAGGAGGCTGAGAACTGAGAATCACAGTTCAAAGCCAGCCAGGGCAGGAAAAGCCATGGGAATCTTATCTCCAACTAACCACCAGAAAACCACAAGTGGCACTGTGGCTCAAGGTAGACAGCTAGCCTTGAGCTGAAGAGCTGAGGGACAATGCCCAGGCCTAGAGTTCAAGCCCCACAACTAAAAATGAAAACAAAACCCAAACCAAAAACAAAACAAGGCTCTCCAGGGAGCATGAGACAATGTGAGTGCTGAGCCCCTGCCAGCCCCAGGCCCCAGCCTGAGGGATGGCTGCATCTACTGTACCCACTGGCCACAGTATGTCCCTGACTTGGGTCTCTACTGGAGGGAAGGACACCATGAGTGAAGGTACTGTGGACAGTTAAATCCAAACCCTGTAGGAAAGATTGAGGGAGCAGTCAGATAGAGCTTCTTTCACCTATAAGAAGCCCTTGGACACGAGACCACTTAGGACCTCCCGAGTCTCTGCTAACTTCTCTTTCTCAGATCCCAGCCTGTTCGACTGTCCCTTCTACAGGTGATGAAGTAGGATCTGAGGCCAAGTTTGGCAGAGCCCAGATTGAAAAGCAGCTTGTTCCTTTCCCATTCTTCACTGCCTCCTACCTGCCCAACACCTACATCACCTCCTGTGACCCCATACCTGAGTGGCTGATTACCTCCCCTAGGGCTGACTTAGCTCACTCATTTCCAGTCACACTTAAAATAACTGCCTGTCAACAGTCTTCCCTCCTCAGACTGTGAGTTCCTGGAAAGTAAATTGCCTATCTGTTTTGCTGACCATTCTGATCCAGTGCCCAATGGAGGCCTGGCACCCATTAAACAGTCATTAAATAATTGCTGAATTAACTAGCACGTAATCAATGGCTTCCGCAGATGCACAGCTCTAAGGAGGAGGGCCAAGGTGCAATGCAGAACTCTCAACCCCAGCCCCCTCTACTCCACTGCCCCAGCGCGTGGCCTACCTGCAGTGTGTTGACAGGGAAGGCGCTGATGGGCGGGAAGTCTAGGATCTGGAGGTCGTGCACATGGCCGTTCATGACCACAGCAGGCAGGTAGAGGCGGCGGGCGGTGGTGGGCACACAGACCTCGCTGAACTCGTTGTACAAGAACTGGCGCACGATGGCACTCTTGCCCACACCTCGTGCCCCCAGCACAGCCACCCGGTAGGTGGAGACCATGCCTCCCGCCCCACTCCGCCACCGCGTCCTTGCCTGGGGCTCCCCCGGGCTGCATATTCCAGGGGCTGGGGGCTCAGCCACCGTCAGGACCAATCATTGCTGCCTCTGCTTGTCCTAGGCCTCCTGCGGCCTCCACCTAGACTGGGAGGAAAAGAGTGGGGCTTAGTGCACTGGCTTACCCCGCCCGCATGCCCTGCACTTTGCCACCTCTGGGTCTCTGATGGAGCTGTCACTGCATTTGAAATACCCTCTGCTCCTTTCTCCGAACCCAGATCTTCATCTATCCCAAACTTCGCCATCTTCCCTCCTCCATTCTTCTTGCACACCACTGGTTCATCCCTCTTGACTTGCGTAACAACCGGATTTTTCACCAGGCCTGCCTCCCCAGCCATGGCAGGTTTCACAGCAGAGAGGAGACAGCACGGGACTTGGGTTCAAATCCCAGTTTCCCCATGGAGCCTGGACAAGACAGCAACTCCTCCGTGTCTCCATCTCATCCTGATAGGGTAAGGCCGGGCAAGTGAGTCTCAGCGGAGACTCTCCTGGCCATTTTGTGTGGAGAGAACACTTTCTTATACAGGACATTTTATTTTCATGGCTCCCAAGTAATGTAGCTTATCACAATGGCTTAAAATACACACACACACACACACACACACACCACCACCACCACCATCACCATTTCCCAATGTTCCCAATCGTGAATCACTGCACTAGATGACCACATTGGCTCTGGAGAACACATAGCAATTCACCTGCTGTTGGCAAGCCCATATATCCTGGGTCAATACAATACACGCCAGCAAGAGGTAGCACTATTCACCCCTCAGAAACTCATTCTACCCAAAGCTGCACCCTGGGTGAATAACAGCTACTCCTTTCTACACCCTTCTTGTAGTACCTCCAGCTTTCAAATGTAGTGATTTTAAATGGTGACTAGCCATAGGCCAAGAACTAGGTCTGATTCTCTAACACCATTTGGAACTCAGAGGACCTGGCACACAGCTGGTACCCAGCAAAGAGCTGCTAAGTGGTTAGACTGCGATAGGAACTCACTAACTCCATGCCTGTTTCCATGACTTTCAGAGCTTGGGTAGAAACCCCGGCACTGACGTTTTCTAGCTGTGGGTCAGTAGACAAATCATCTGGCTGATCACAGCTGAGCCTCTGCACATTTGCAAAACGGGGCCAATAGCCCCTACTTTGAAACACATCCCTGTAGATGTCTTAGCAGGGATGTGTCTCCCTCGGTTGGGGATTATGATCCCAGGGACTGCTAAGGAGGTCCAGGTTAGGTGAGTTGGCTGGACTACAACCAGACCAGCGGGGGCTATGCTTTTCAGCATGTATGAGTTCTCTTTCCTGGTGAATGTGTTCTTTTCATAGCTGAGCGTCCCCACGGTTGTTCTAGTTCAAAAGGCTAATCTAGGGGCAGATGTGCATGTATTCTATAAGTAAAAGGTCTGGATAAAAACTTCGTAAGGTGTTGTGAGGCTGTGAATGCAAAGCCCAGTGCCTGGCACAGAGTAGGCATTCTGTAGCAACTGTGACATGCTTTCCATAATCTCAGGGCTAGCAAAGGCTCACTATCCATTATTGTATGGGTTCATATACATAGTGTGTGTGTGTGTGTGTGTGTGGTGAGAGAGAGCACGCACAAGAGAGAGATGCTGATACTTAGGTAGGCAAAGACCTCTAGCCAGCTGAGTTGTCAATTAAGTCTAGAACCCTAAGTCTAGATCTCTTATGTGCCTTGTGCAAGTCCTTTCCCCAACAGGTGTTGGTACACTCATGGCCATTCCCAACTAGGGAGGAAGAACCAATCCCTCCACCTCACATGTCCCTCCAGGTCCCCAGGCCCCTAGGCCATCCCTGAATACTGCTAGCTTGGCAGAGAGACTCAGCTGGGTTAATTACATAACAGCACAAGCAGGTGGGGAGGGGGGAAATCCTAAGGGAGAAATAGAGGGCAAGGAACACCAGAGTCCCAGCCTCTCTCTGGGTGTGGCAACTGAGGTTTCTAGGATGCACCCTATCTGCAGATTTTCCTGGACACCATACTCTCCGCCCAGTGGTCAGTTTTTGTTCTTGTTGTTGTTTTGTGTGTCCCCTTCCACCCCCCCCCCCACCATGGGAAATAGCAGAAATGGGAGCAGGGCATAGCCTGGAAATTGGCCCTGGGGGGGTGGCGGTTAGGGGGGGATCCTACAAGAAAGGCCCCGAGGCAGGGGTGAACCTCCGCAGGCCTAAATGTGTCCCTGTGTCCAACTCAAGAGGTGACAGGTGCCCTCTCTCTCTCTTCCCAGATAAAGAGCCAAAGTCTTAAGCATTTAGCCATCCACTGGCCTGGCTGGGTGGGGACAGAAGGGTCTGTCCTGGGAAGCAGGGCCCAGGCCCCTGCGCCCGCTCTCCAAGGCCTGAGGCTCCGCAGTGAGTCTGCAGACAGCGCCCGCCCGTCCGCCCCGCCAACCAGGCAGGAACCGAGGCCGAAGCCGGGCTCCAGTCCCCTTCCCTCGGGCCCCGGACCGAGGAGAGGTCAGGGACTCTCCCGGATCCCGGAGTTAGGCTTCCACAGATTCCCACTGGATGAACCCATCACATCCGCGTGGGGATGTTGGGGGTGGGGGCAGACGCCGGCTCCCCAAAACCTGGTCCCGCGGACTAGGCGTGGGGGGTGCGGGCTCGCCGCTCCGGCACCCCGCGGGCGCCCGGGGGCCCCCCCCAGCTCCTGCGCTCACGTGGCGGCCCCGCGCCGCCTCCCCGCCGGCCCCTCCTCCCAGCCCGCCGGGACGCCCCCTCCCCTCCCCCGCCTCTCCCCTCCCCCTCACCCCCCCCCCCACCCCGCGCTTACCGGGCGCCGGCCCCGCGGCCCCCTGCCCTGGCCGGCCGCCCCGCGGTGGCCGCGCTCCCCGCCCCCGGGCTCCGGCGCTGCCCCCCGGCTCCCCCCCGACCGGGGGGAGGGAGGAGGGGCGCCCCGGGCTGCCCGGGCGCGGCGGGTGGGCGCAGGGGCCGGTGCGCGCCGAGGGTCGCGCTCAGCCCGGCTCTCCCCGCGGAGCGCGCCGCCCGCTCACGCCGGCGCGAGGGGGAGGGGAGGGGAGGCGGACGGGTAGTGGGGAGGGGCGGAGGAGGAGGGAGGGGGTTGGTAAGCCGGATTCCGCTGGGTCCCCGAGCCCGACACATTCCCTCGGGCCACCCTGGACCAATTTTCCTGCATCCGTAGCCTCGACCTTCGCCGCCTCCCAAACTCTCCCAGGCGAGCATGTGGCCGAGTGGGAAGCAAGGGACGGGAAAGGCCCTGTGGTCTCTGGTGTCAATTCTAGACCTCGAGTCCGTGTAGCCTCGCGCATCCCCTCAACCCCCCAGATCCCCAGCCTTCTCCTCCCCACATCTTTCTGACCCTTACCGGTTCGGTCCGCTACCCAGTGTGCGCCCTCGCGGTGGTGCGCCCCGCGCTGCGCGCCGGCTCTCCGCGCTCTTCTCCTCCACCCCCGAAGGCTGGAGCTCCGGGGTGGCCACGCTCACCTTCCTTCACTGCGGCAGTGAAAGGCAGACCAGGCTAGCGCCAAGCCAAGCTGGTTCCCTGCCAATACATGACCTCCACTCCTCTAACGCTGCAGTCCCCTTCCCTGCTCCAGACTGGGAGAGGTACCAGCGTAAACCACCACGCTTGAAGGCACCCGCGCGCCTGTGTCTATTCTACAACAATCGTCACCTCATTTTATCAGCAACAGCGGACACTGACTATTCGCCCCACCGTGCCCACATCCTCAAATCTAATCCCCAGGCCTTCCATCCAGTAGATTCTTTTTTTTGGGTCCGGTCGTGGGGCCTGAACTCTGGGCCTGGGCGCTGTTCCTCAGCTCTTCAACTCAAGGCTAGCGCTCTACCACTTGAGCCACAGCGCCACTTCCGGCTTTTTTCTTTTTGTTAATGTGGTGCTGAGGAATCGAACTCAGGGCCTCATGCATGCAAGGCAAGCGCTCTACCACTGAGCCACCTTCCCAGCCCCCATCCAATAGATTCTATCTCCCCCATTTTACAGATTAGATAGCCGAGGCTGACAGGGTTGAGGAACTTCTTTTACTTCAATACAACACGTGGAATACAAAGATTGAGCCTTTAGCTGAGGGGCTTTGACCTAGGGCTGACAGATCAATGGGGGCACCAAAAGACAAGCCACAGTCCTGTGTGCAGACCTGAGGAACTGGGGGAGAGTCAGGGGGTGGGGTCAACTCAGAGGAGTCACTGAAGGTTTGTGGCAATTATAATAGCTTGAGAAATATAATCAGGAAGTAGACAGGAGCCCAGCAGATGGGCAGTGGCGAGGAAACAGGCCAAGAGGGGGAAGTGAGGTCCCATAGGACCCATTTTCTGGGATTAGGAGTTAGATCACTGAAAGCAGTGTTTTTTTTTTTTAAAAAGACCAAACAATAATAGTACCTTCAAGTAGACAATCTGACTGAACGGAAAGTACAGTTAATTTATTTTGGGTTGCCAAGTTAATGTGGATCAAAAGTACTTTCCTAGGGCCTGTTTACTGTTCTCTGTCATTAAGATTTTACCTCTGTGGAAAAGTTGGAGAGGTCTTGTCCTTGAGCCTCTTGTGGCTCTGATTCAGGGGAAGATGGATGTCTGATAGCTGGCACACAAGCTCACAGTTCAGGTTCCAGGGGAGCAAACACACAGACCATCTGCAGCCCTTGAGGTACATACTGCAGTGGGGCACAAAGGACTATGATCTGAACCCGCCTGTTTCCACTCCTCTCCTCCCCATCTTAGTTGATGTGCTTTCAAAAGCAGATTGGCCAATGATCCTAGGACCTCTAAGTGAAGTTTGAATGGAATAAGGGAGGAAAGGCAGAGGCCATACCTAAACTTCACTCTCCAATACTAACAGGTGGGAAGGGTGAATGATGCTCTTTTAGCTTAAGTATTGGGGCCCTGCACAAGAGAGAATGACAGTCCTAGAAATGACAGTCAGTACTGGGTTTGAAGTCAGGGCTTGGGTAATATCCCTGAGCTTTTCACTCAAGGCTAACGCTCTACCACTCTAGCCACAACTCCACTGTCAGGAGTCTCATGAATTTTCTTGCCTGGTCTGACTTGGAACCACAGTCCTCAGATCTCAGCTTCCTGAGTAGC